TTTGTGGGGTCTGCCACGCCTCCTTCTGCCTGTTACATACATTTCAACAAAACCATTATACCCTGACTTCCCATTTTCAATGGGTTCAGGGTATAAAAAGAAACGAAAGTAGAAACTTAATGCAAGTTGTGGCAGCCAAGTTTGGTTGCAAGCCGCCGTGGAATGGAATTAGGTGCACAATTTTCGGGTCCGCCCACTATTCCGATAAGCGACCCAAAACTGTGGCAAGTGCAGCGCTGCCTTAACAACTGATAGGGTAAACACCTGTGCCCCAGCCACCTATGGCAGCGCCACCCTCGGCTTTAGCTTGTTGCAGCTGTTCTGCTTTGAGCCCGGTGCAGCTGCACTGCTTTCTCACCACGCAGAACCACGCGCCAGGCGAAAGCCACCACAGCAGGTCGCAGTTCTCACTACGTTCACAATAGAAACGCTCGCAGACCGTGGTTAGACGTCATGCGTTGGAAAGCTCTCACTGAAACAGCTAAGGAACGGCAGGCGCATGCGCTGCATTAAGAAGTGCCGTTATGCCCGTTACCTCTGCTCGCTCTGTTTTCCAGTGCTTAAGCAGCAGAAATAGCAGCTGATGATGTAGCGAAGTGCGCGCGCAATGTTACATTTAATTGATTAAAGCTTACAAAAATATTGCCTCTATGAGTTACCGTAGAAGTTCAGATCACAGGATCAGCATATGAATAACTATGTTTTGCACATCAACATAAACTAGTTCAATGACTTGAAAATCGAGTGCATTTGTTTTCGATAAGCTTAAATATAATATATTAGAACTAATTATTAACATATTCGAGTTTAGAATTTTTGTAATCATCGCTAAATTTTTCACACATTGAATAGTTCAGCTTTCTTGTCCACTGTATTAACTGTAATCTTAATGATGCTATGCATGGTATGTCCACGCGTTGATCACGCAGTCCCACGCTCGCTCTATCTTTCTGTCTCGCTCCCTATCCTTTTGCGTCACATTGTCACCGCGATGCTCTTTACTTCAATCCTTCAATCCGGTACACGCTTTATTGCAGCGACGTCATTTCATTCACCGCATTTCATTTCATGCAGCGTCATGCTCTTTACTACGAATTCACATACAACGGCAACAACAACCAATGCACTTCCAATCCATTTAGACCGAACAGTTAGTCAACCGTCCAACACGCGTGCCTTGGTTTGTCAAGCAGGGGCTGAGCGGGGGTGGGGCTGAGCAGCACTGGAAAGCAAAGACAAACACGCTGATTTTGCCATTCACCATGGTGGAAAGAGAGCGTAAAGACAGAAAAAGAATCACAAACACAACAACAGTCGCAGTGGCAGTAGCAGAAGCAGTAGCAGCAGCAGCAGCAGCGCAGTAGCAGTACCAGAGCATCGTGCCTGCCTGACCCGACCATGCGGCAGTAGCAGAAGCAGCTGTCAATGTTATCGCAGTCAACGTCTCTGTCACAGCTAGCGTCGCAGTCGCTGTGGCCACGCGTAACTTTATTTTTAGTTGTGCATTGGAAGTGCCATGGGAAAGTGCTGCTACGGCAACAACAACATGGCGAACTTATAACATTGTTATTGGAAATATGTGTGTAGGCTACTAGCACCAAGAACAACAACAATGAAAGCAATAACAACATCAGCCGAAGGGTAGGCGCTAAAGGAAAGCGAAAACGTAAAGCGAAATTCCATTGAGGCTTTTTTAAATCGAAACGAAATTAGTTTTCGATGAACTTTAAAGGCGAGTAAACAGCCTCTGCGGCTGCACGTGTCGCAAAATCCAAATTACAAAAGGCTAACCAAATAAATAGTGAAAAACATCGCAAATACGTTGAACGAAAAACGAAACGGATCCCGTGACACGCGGCAAATGCTGCGAGCAATCGAAAGTGAAACTTTACGAGTATCTCACGCTAAATTTAAGGCGAAGGTTGAGCCCAACGCAACCTTGAAGCGAATTTGTGAAAGTGAAGCAATAAACAATATAAAAGTAAAATATACGAAAAATACAAAATAAATAAATAGAAAGAAAAACCAATTGCAAATAAAACGTGCGTGCTCGTTAAATTACGCTTGCATCTGGCATTGAGTAATATATCATTAAAAGCTTGTCTGCTGAAGGTTAAATGTGTCACACACATAGGAAATCAAGTTTAAATCAAATAATTCATGTTTCGACGGGCGTACAAAAGTTGCATTCTTGGTGTATAAAATTTGGCTGTAATTAATGCATACAAATGTAAATACCAAAGAGGTAAACAAACGACATAAATTCAAGAATAAATAAATAGAAAAAGCTGAAAATATAACAGAATTGAACTGCTGTTTATTGCAATAAAATCATAAAATGGCTGCCAAATTTGGGCGAAAGTGCCTTCAAAATGAAATCGAATCAAGTCATGAATCAAATCTTGGCCAGCCTTAGACTGCGCAAATTGTGGCGCCCATTGGACGCGCTTGCTACCCACGCAAACACACACACACCTACATGCAAGCACACACACACGTGTATACATATTCGTTTCCTTGCGTGGGCCAAAGCAGAATCTAAGGAAATTATTCTTATACCAATTATTGTTTTTTTTTTTTATTGTTAGAATTTTTTTTTATTTTTTTCTTTGGTTTGTTTGCTGGGCGCCGAGCAGGGAGAAAATTTACGATTTGTTTACTGTATACAGCCACGCGATTACCAAGCCAGCTCCTCCCTGTCTCTCTACCTCTCTGTCCGACTCTCACTCCCACTCCCGCTGTGCGTGTGTGTGGACATGTCGAAACATGTTTTAAAATCTATTTTGCTAACTAAGCGACTAAAGCAAATAATATGCGGGAAATAAACAGGAAATAAAATCAAAAGTAA